GCCGGGCAGAGGTGCTCCTCACTTCCCAGACAGTTGGCGGCCCGGCAGAGGCACTCCTCACTTCCCAGATGGTTGGCTGACAGCCGGGCAGAGGCACTCCTCACTCCCTAGACGGTGCTGGGCAGTCGGACTCCATTGCTGGATGTGTGACTTGGGTTTAAGCCTCTCCCTTCTGCCCTCATCTGGAAATGCTGACAGCCTGGGCCTCCCTCCTTTGGCACTGGATGGAGACTGAAGCCTGGCAAGGCCCTGCCCTCAGCAGGAACTGCCCCTGGGCCCCACTCTGTGACCCCGAGCTCAGGCCAGGATTTTTCCTTTACTTTCTCCAGCCACTTTGGGCCTCCCGGCTCTCTGAGCCCTGTGAGGTAGGTGACAACCCTGTTCCCACTGTTTTTTTTTTTTTTTCTTTTCGTGTATTTTTAGTAGAGATGTGGTTTCACCATGTTGGCCAGGCTGGTTTGAACTCCTGACCTCAGGTGATCCACTTGTCTCGGCTGCCCAAAGTGCTGGGATTATAGGTGTGAGCCACCGTGCCCAGTCCCCAGGTCCCACCTTAGTGTATGTATTGTCATCACGTTTCACCCCAAGCAGACCTTGGGTGGGCAGCCTCTGTGGGGACCACTCACAACTGACCTGTAGTCATGGTCGCCTGCAGAGCCCTTGCAGGTGGTCCAGATGTGCCCAGTGGCCCTGCCCCGAAGCGTCTTCCCTGCCCGTGGCCTGCTCTGCCTGATGTGCACTGTGCGCTCGGCTCTGCTGACTCCCAGGGCCTCCGTCACACACCGAGCCAGCCTTATCAGCTGTCTCACTAGTTGGTGTTCAGGGACAGGGACTCACCCCTTCCTAAGGTGCACCTGGGCTGAGACTCAGAATGGACGTTCAAAACAAAGACATGGCGCTGTGAGTGACACCGGGCCCCACGGGCCGTCTGTCAACCAGGCCTTGGCCCTAGTCCATCGGACACTCACCCCTTGCAAGATGTGGACCCGCTAGTGCCTAACGTGTAAACAAGTAGCTGGAGGCCCCACCCCACACTGCTGGCATGGCCTGCCTCTCCCCTACCCAGGTGTGGCAGCTCCTGGTGCCAGTTTCCCAGGAGCATGGCCAGGCCCCGGGTGTCTCTCCATCATGGCTGCGGCTCTGGCTTCTTCCGGGAAGTGAGGTGGGGTCGCTCCCCGTGCAGCAGCCGCCGCCGCTGCTTCAACACCCTGTAGGCCTGCATGGCCCGCTCTCTTTCCTCCCCCACAATCCGCTGGCGAGCCAAGGAGGCGGTCAGGGGCTGGGACACAGCGCTGGGGCTCAGAAGCATCCTCAGCATCTGCGATCTCCTGCCAGGCTGCGGGAAAGAGGGGAGGGTGAGGCACAGGCTGGGAAAGGAGGGGACGCCACAGAAAGCCTCACAGCACCTCTCCCGCCAGCGAGAATGCTGCACTCTCAGGCCACACACCAGACAGCGCACACGTTGGCTGAGGATTTTTTTTTTTTCTTGACAAAGGATCTCACTATGTTGTCCAGGCTGGTATCAACTCCTGGGCTCAAGCGATCCACCTGCCTTGGCCTCCCAATGTGCTGGGATTACAGGTGTGACCCACTGTATCCAGCCTGTCTAAGGCTTCTGTTCCCTGGCAGCACTGGGAGACAGACTCAGTTGTCCCCATGCCCCACTTACCTGGTCCTTGCTTACGCTCCTCCGGGGCCTGACAGTCAGCTCTGGGGGCTGCAGGACAACCTCTCCAAACGTCACCGTGTCTGGAAGGGCAGAGTACAACTGAGGACTGCTGCCCACAGCCACTGCACCCGACACCCAGCGCCACCACCCGCCCACCTCCCTCCCATAGGGCTGGGACAGAACACCAACTCATCCAGTGGTCTAATGGCTGTGGACCCCAGGTGCAGCCAGGGCTGGTGGGGAACAGAAGGCCTGTGCCCAGCCCCTGCCCGGACCACTGCTGACACCATCGCTTTGGGAGGAGCTACCTCGGAGCAACTCCTGCTCCAGCCTGTCGGCCGCCTTTTCCTCCTTTTTCCGTTGGACTTTATCTAGTCGCCGCCTCTGGAACCTGGGGAAGAAAGCACATGTCACTCGGATTCCTAAATTCTCTTTCCACCCAGGGAGGAGGCAGAGGCCGCCCCGCCCACAAGGATCCTCTGTGGCAGAGCAGGGACCCGAGAACAGGCGGCTGCCTCCAAGTCCCTGCTCCCCTCACTGCCCCAAACCCACTCCAAGTCCCCGCTCCCCTGACTGCCCCAAACCATAGCTGCCACCAAAGGAGGCTCTGAGCCCAGCAGGCCCCTCAGGGGTCCCCTCAGTGATTCTCAGCCGGGGACGGCTGCCTCCCAGGGAGCATCTGACAATGTGTGCAGACACGCGGGCGGTCTCATGGGCAGGGGCTACTGGCACCTGGCGCGTGAAGGCTGGGAATGCTGCCAAAGACCCCCTACAGAGACTCATCCAGCCCACCCGGTGCTGCTGTGTCTAAAGGGCCTGACACGCATCGTGTGTCCCATCTCCCTCACTGAGAATCTGGAAGCTTCACCTTCGGCGACAGCTCTGGAGATCACTGTGGCGCTAAGCTGTGTCTGGGACACGTTCTCTGGGATGAACTTTCATCGGCTAAGGTAATTGTAAGTAATACAACAGCCCAGAAACAGGGAATCTACAGAGCTGAAAGCAACCTCTCTAACCTTCAAAGTTTTTTTTTTTTGAGATGGAGTCTCGTGCTCTGTCACCAGACTGGAGCACAGTGGCGCGATCTCAGCTCACTGCAACCTCTACCTCCTGGATTCAAGCGATTCCCCTGCCTCAGGCTCCCAGGTAGCTGGAATTACAGGCACGCACCACCACATCTGGCTAATTTTTGTGTATGTGTTTTAGTAGAGACAGGGTTTCATCATGTTGGCCAGGATGGTTTCGATCTCCTGACCTTGTGATCCACCTGCCTCGGCCTCCCAAAGTGCTGGGATTACAGGTGTGTAATCTAAATGCTTAGTCAAAGCATTTAGAGAATTAGAAAGGTGTGGCCGGGCGCACCTTTTGTTTCAAGAAAGCTTTTGTTGAAACTGCCTCCCCATCCTGCCTACAGGGATGGGCAGAGGAGCTAATGCTTGTGGTGGGCTTACTACTCCTGCCAGCCACCATCCTTAGGAACGGAATGAGAAATCCATCTGAACCTGTGGCCACTCTACAGTCGAGGAAGGCCAGGCTGAGGAGATGCCACAGAGCGGCAGGGACAGCAGAGCCAGTACAGCCAGAGCTCTCGAGTCTCTTGGACCAGGAAGGGCCCCAGTGGAAACAGAACCCCCGGGCACGTCGCCCTCAGACCGATCCCCCAAGGGCGGATTTCCGCAGGGCCAGGGCTTTCTGGAGCTTTTCCTGTGAAAAGCAAGGACCAAGCGAGGTCTCCGCAGAGTCCCCAGTTCCACAGCCTCCTGGAGGCCACACCCTCGCTAGCTCCCAGCTGGACGATCTGACTCGCCAACTCCCAGGGCTCCAGCTTGGTTTCCCTGAATCCGGGCTGCCCCATAGCTACGAAACAAGGTCCCTGCAGAGGGCCATCATGGGAACCCAATGTCCTCCCTCCGGCTCCGGGGGCAGGCCCCGACCCCTCCTGCCTCCACTCACGCTTTTTTTGCTTTTTTCTGCTCAGACCTCTCCGTGGGAGCCGCCTGTACCTCTGGCTGCCGGGGGACCTGGTTCTTGCTGAGGAACAGCACGTGCTGGGCCTCTTGATGCATGCGCTGCATATAGGCCCCATCGGACTCCCCCTTCCTCTGTTTGAACTTGGGGACGGCAATGTCGGGCTCCACTCCCTTTGCCTCCTTCTCCAATGTCTTTCTGAAGGTCACCTGGGCTGAGGACAAAGGGAGGCCTCAGAGGAGACACGAGGCAGACAGTGGCAGGCAGGTGGCCCACGCTCATTTCCCCTCCCGAAGCCAAAAGAAGGGAAGACCAGGTTGGCTGGAAGCAGCCCAACGATAGCAGCTGAAGAGGATCTAGAATGTCCAGCCTGGCATCCCCAGGGATGCACAGCTGTGCTGAAAAAGGAAAGCAGAAACAACCTAAATGCCCACCCCTAGGTGGCTGGTTGAATGAATTCTCCTCTGAGCACCCACAGACTCCACCACACAGCTGCTGAAGGAAGCCCAGCGGAGCTACACATAGAAACGTGGGCAGACCTACGACACCACTGTGAACACAAGCGCAGGACCCGAGGCGAGTGTAGAACACAGCAGTGGACAGTGCCGTGTAGAGCGGG